ATTTAAAAGATAAGAGAGATAAGTTAAAAAAATGATTTAATCTCATTTTTTAAGATTTTATTTAATACATAAGATGATAAATAAGATAGGATGATACCCATTCTATATTAGTTTGGTTTATATCTAAAAAAAAATAATTAGATTATAAGAAAAATTAATCATCTTCTTAATATACAATCATTCAATCCTTTTAAAGTAAAAAAAATTATTTTTAATCTATGAGATTAAACTTATATGTACTATTATACCCTTAAAAATTATATCAATAAATTATATAAATTTTGAAAATGGATGGTTTTAACCAATAAATAAATTATCTTATTATTCTAACCCTTACACATATCAAACACAAGATAGAATAACATTATTTAATATAATTCTATTCATAATATTATTTTATCCTATCATAATATAAATCTATTAAAATTCATTATTAAAAAATGTATAAAAGGGTGCAAAACTTTTTTTATGTTACTTGATCCCTCTATATATATCCTTTCTCTCTCTCTCTCTCTCTCTATATATATATATATATATATATCTAACATACATATATTTTCATCCCCTATTGTCTAAAGTTTTGACATGTGGATTGCCACATATGCAACCTTCATTTGCCATGTAGGACTATTAAGTTGCCATATATTCATTTTAAGTTGTCAAGTCATTTATCGTTAATTACCACTCTTCTATGTCTTTCACCTTTGAGAGTTTAGAGCCAATAATGCTTAATCGTCCATTCTTAATCTACTACTTCCTCAATACCTGTATTCCTCTTTATTTATTTCAAAAAAATTATTTTATTTTCTTATTCAAGAGACAATAAATCTTTTTCACAACTTGAAAGAAGATAAATTTGCATTATTCAAATTCTTCATGTAAGTAACCAATTGTCTCCCTTACTCATTATTATTTATTTATTACTTCCAATTTTCATTCTAAAAGAACCATTCATCTAACATTTTATTGTAAGTATAAATTTTTTTTCACATAATTTTTTTAAAAATTTGTTCTTTATCCATAAGAGTAATCTTTTAAATGAATATTGATTGCCAAATTCTGGGCCATAACTCTTTATCTCTTTCTTCTCTCAAATTCTTTTCTGTTTCTTACATTTGTTTTAAAAAAATTTTCATTTTTTACTGAAATCTAGAAATAGGACGATCTTCCTCTTATTTGAAGAATCCACTTGAACAAAATAAAAAAAATCCATTGTCTTATAAGGAATCATCAAATTTAGAATTTGTTTAATAATTATTTGATAACCTATTTTTCATTTAGGTTATTTACAATTTCTCTTACGATGTAGGTTTTTTTTTCTTTTCTCAATTATAAGACTATATTTTTTATTATATTATTATCATTACGTTATAGTTTTGATTTAATAATAAAGATTTTCATGAAAAAACATGAAATAAATCACAATTTATTAGTAACTGTGTTTTTCTTTAATTTCTTTTATTTTTTGAAGATGAAATGAGTAAGAGATTTTATTTGGGATTGTGGGTTAATTCATAATTTAACTAAAATTCATTTACCTTTTTAATTGTGAAAAATATGACCTTTTTTTTATTTCTATCCTTATGATTTTTTCACTTTTAAAATCTATGAGATATCTAAAATGTGTTAAAAGAATGTTCATATTTATTTTACCTTTTAAAAAAAATATTTTTCTATTACAATATATATTAAATAATAAAATGATAAACTGTAGCAACGCGTAAGTTATTATCTTATACATATATATATATGTATAAGATAATAACTTACGCGTTGCTACAGTTTATCATTTTATTATTTAATAAAATTCAGTTATCTTTTTAATTGTGAAAAATATGACCTTTTTTTATTTCTATCCTTATGATTTTTTCACTTTTAAAATTTATGAGATATCTAAAATGTGTTAAAATAATGTTCATATTTATTTTACCTTTTAAAATATATATTTTTCTATTACAAATAACTTACGCATTGCTACAGTTTATCATTTTATTATTTAATAAAATTCATTTACCTTTTTAATTGTGAAAAATATGACCTTTTTTTATTTCTATCCTTATGATTTTTTCACTTTTAAAATCTATGAGATATCTAAAATGTATTAAAAGAACGTTCATATTTATTTTACCTTTTAAAATATATATTTTTCTATTACAATATATATTAAATAATAAAATGATAAACTATAGCAACGCGTAAGTTATTATCTTATACATACATATATATATATTTATATCAAATTGGCAATAGTAGCATTTAGCCTCTCCTTTTTTTTCTTTTTTTCCTCTCTTTCTTTTCTCCTTTATATCAAATCCCATGTCTAAGCAAGATCAAAATCATGACCCAATCAGCTTCGGCTATTATATTTAGTTCTCTCTTAATCCTAAATAACCCCATATAAAAAAGAAAATACTATTAACCAATGAATTAATGTGAATTGAATGTAGATAGCTTTTGATAGGAAAATTGAAGCTTGAATTCCTTTTGGTTCTTAAAAATCCATACAAGTACAAATATGGATTTCTTTTACAAAAAATTGTGTAGTCTATTAAACTCTTGGTTTCAATGATGATTCAATTTCAGGTAACTTCAAGTATAAAAAAATAAAAAAATAAATAAATTTTTTGAATTTTTTGGTATGTCATTGCATTGTAGTGTCTTATCCAATTGAGGAAATTCATTTTACAAATGTAAGTTAATTCAAATTTTTAAAAAAATGATAAGTGCTAAGCAGCCTAATAGTGATAGCCAAATTGACATATTTTTTATTGATTTCCAACCTATAACTTAGGTTTTTGACTTGTTGTTACTAAAGCTTTAAATTTGATGGAATAGATTCCTAATCGTGGCACAATATTTTTAGACCAAATTAATTTCTTGACGTTAGGAAATTTTGAAACTAAATTACTCTCCCAAGTAATAGTTAAAATATTAATAGTTAAAATAAAAAATATTTACTCTCCCAAGTAAAATAAAAAAAAATCGGTAAATTTTGAGTAAAATAAGGGCTGCATATTTTTTTTGGATAAATGTATCAGTTTTTTCATCCAAAAAAAAAAAGAAGATCAAGTCTACTTCAAAAAACGAGATCAATAAATTTAAAGATTACAATAGTTCAATAAAAAATAACCGAATTGCCAATTTTTAATTGAATTGTGTCCTTGATGGAACCAAAAATGGCAGCAAATAAGCTTTAGCAAATTTGTAAGAGTGGTTGAAAAGTGAAAAGGTAAGAAGCCTTTTGTTTTTGCAAGCTTTTTAGGGCATGCACCCAACCCCAATTGCGAGAAGAAGATTCTCTATAAACTAAACAACGTACACAAAAGAACCAAAGTTTTTTTTCATTTTCTTCTTGTTTATCATTTCTTTTCAAGTTTGAAAATTCCAACTCAAACATGCCACGACACATTGAATTTCGTTTCCATTAATATTATTTAACCACACAACACAGCCACTGAGCCACATTGGCTAACTTGATCAGCTGTTCAAACAATGAGACCAGAGGCGTTAAAATGGGAAGAAAAAAAAAAAAAAAGGGGGGGGGGGGAGGTGCTGGAGGTTGAATCGTGAAGCCAACAACCAAATCTGATAACCCTTAGCCTTAGATCTGTATTTTTTTTTTCTTTTTCTGATACACTCATCTTTGCAATCTTCCATATGCATGGTACTCAAAGTTTACCTGTTTGTAATTTGTTTCACCTGCTTTCATATATATATATATATATATATATATTTGTTCATATCATCTGTCTATCTACTGTGATAACAAATACACATAAATTTGTTGGTCTTAAAATCTTTTACTCCTTAGATACCCTTTTGATTCCCATAATAATTTGTCTTTGGGCCCAGCCTGTAAGGTTCAGGCTTTTATAATATGCCCATAGTATATAATTTGTTAAAACTAGAATTTTGACCCTCAATTTGCTTTGGGCTATTTATTTTAAAAATAAAAAATTAATTTGAATACTATTAGAAATAATAATAAGGGTAATTATTGTAAATAATAGAGTTGATAAGGTTTTTTTAAAATCAATAATAATAATTTACAGAAAATTATAAATAGTAATAATCTCTCTTATTTCTCATCATTATTTTCATAAAAATCATTAAAAATTTGTTTATAAATCATTATATTATGAAACATGGATTGTCCTTTTAAAATTTTAAACTATACATTTAAAAAATATATATATATTTGATGGAGGGTGTGCGTTGTGTAAATATGAGGCTGAAAGCAAGAAACTTTTTTTTTTTTTTCCAATTGCAGTTATTGGAAGGCTGTGTGGAAGCAGATTCTGCGACTTTGCAACTCGCACAGGGAGGTTGTTGGCTGGGAAGATGAGTTCCAATGGGTGAGGGAGCTTCGAGGGAAGTCTTTACCATCCACATCCCATTGAGATTAGCTTGGGCCTTGGGGGGCAAACTTACATATCTGACATGGAAGGTTCAGTAATGAAAAATGCAACTTAGAGCAGATTTTGCAATAGATTAAGGGAGTGGTCAGATTTAGATTGATGGGACTGAAGAATATTGATTAATAATGATGAAATCAATAAAGAGTTATGTGAAAGATGGGATCTAATTTAAGTACAAATACATTTGCAGTGATTCTTGTGATGCAGCATGGTAACAGTGAATTCAGTGCTTCTTGAATAATAAAATTAATTTATTAAAAAAATATGCATTATATTTGATAGATTTCAATTATTTAATTAAAATGGATATAAAGATTAAATGGAAATGTTTTAAAATAAATATTTTTTAAAAAACAATTAATTATTTTTTTATTGATATAAGCAATCACTTTTTAATTATTTTTAAATTAACTGGTCAGGATCACAGTCATGGACAATAGTTCTTTGAAGCAATTTACAGCACAGCAGAAATCCCCTAGTAATTTATACTCATTTAATCGTGTAGAAAAATGCAATCATAATGATAAAATTTATAGTACAAATGAGAACCAGTACAATAGTTTTCACTGGATAGACAGAGAATGCTCAAACGTTCCCATCATTAATATAGGAAAGAGTGTAGTACAAATTGTCACATTCTTGTTACAAACAGGAAATGCAGTTACATCAGAATGTATCACCCACATCTTGTACAGACAGAAACCTATAAATTTGAAAAAGGGGGAAAAAAAACTCCAGTTATGAGCATCTAAAGCTCAGTTTTGACCTTAACATCTCCATTTGGTAAAATGCTTTGTGATTGAGCAAGCCGTTTAGATTCCTGCATTGTATGATGAGCTTAAGCAATCAGCGTAAATAACTTAGTATAGACTACATATTGACAAAGTGAGACATTCAATTTTGAAGGAAACTGCAGAAAAGTACCCATAAACTTAAAGAACTAAAAAATTTGAATGATCCATGGTTTAGTCTAATGTGAAATCACTTTACTCTATGGTTCTCAAGACATGCACACCTCCAAAATATTGGATTCAATATTTTATCTATAAAGTATTTCATATCCATCTAAGCTTTAACAATTGAAACGTGCACTTAATGCTTCTGACCAATTAAATAAATGAATAGGTAAATACTTGTTTCCATTTTTCTCAAGTACCAAACAGAGTTTTGTAAGCAAATGCAAGAAAAACACAAGACATGGATGCAAAGAAAGCTCTGAATAGAAAATTTTGGAATTCCTTCGGGTGCCTTGTCCAGCCTAAAAAATTGTGCTGGCTCAATGAGAATAACATGATGACAGAAGCCAAAAAACCAAAAAAGATAAAGGTGAAAATAAGCCTGGGTATTTTTGACAAGTAGGCAAGACAAGGTCCACCAAGGATGAAATTGATAGAAGGGTAACAAGAGGCAGCAGTGAGAGTGAAATAGTGATTATGGGTCAGAAAGCCTTGTCAAGAGACCATGAATAAAGAGGTTTCCCCCATAAGAACCAAAATCCAACCATTATAACATTTCAGATTACGTACCATCATCAGTCAAGGCAATGACAAGAACTGATCGCTACTTCTCATGAATAACATGAATAAGAAGAAATATTCATAATAAAAGTCAGCTTAATATAACTCACAGCAGCAGAACTCGCACGTATCTCCCTGTACGTTTCAACTTCATCCGGAAATGTCTGTTCAAGCTCTTCCAGAAGATGCTTCCGTAAACTCTATAAAATTCAAAACTAGAGTAAATACATATCTACTTGTGCTCAATAAAATGAAACTAGAATGAAATGTCCTATACAGGGAGTTAAGAACTACCTTAAAGGCATCGGTTTTGCCTTTAGTAACCTGATTTTTTGCAATACAGCTGTTTAAAACATCCCTCGTAAATTCATCAGGGTTCTTCCCATCATCAATCAAACTATGCCAAAAAGGAACAAATTACTACTAGGAACTAAAGAAAACAAGCTAATTTTGCCAAAAAAAAAAAAGGAAACCCACTTAAGAACTTCCATAGGCACTTGAATGTTACACTTGTCAGATAATTTTGCCATGTTATCAAGCTCTGTAACTAAGGAATTCCTATAACAACAACAACAACAAAAAACCCTAATGAGGTCAGCAATGGATCAAAAAGCTAACTAGAATCTTATAAAAACAAGAAGGCGAAAAATAGAAAGGATTTGAAGAAAAATTTACAGGCGTTGAAGGAGAGGGAGCTGCGAAGCGGAATTGAAAGAAGAGACGGTGAGGTATAGTTGATGGAGAAGGCCTAAAGTTTTCTGGATGGAGTTTATTACTTGAGTCAGATTCTGCTTTGGATCATCATTAGGCGTTGTTTTTGCCGTGTCGTTGGTTTGAGTGCTTACTATCCCATTCCCACCGCTCCCTCCCGTCCCTATCGTTGAAGCTTGTGATGAATCCATTTCTCTAGATTTGTAATTCCTTCCTTCTCAGCTATGATTGATTCACTGCAATAACAAAAACTGATAATTAAGTAAATAAATAAATCAATAGATAGTTTAAACCCTAAAAAACAGAAGAGAAGAAATTGAAGTCCTGCATAAACCCTAAAAAAAATGGGAGAAATTTGGGACAGATTTCGAAGGGATTGAAATACCTCTGCAATTGAAATTTCAGGAACCCGGTCCCCTTTATTTCGTGTTTTGAAGTGTTTGTCTTTGGGCCTTCAATTGCGATTCGGGCTCCTTCTTCTAGAATTTGGATTCTTGTTGGATAAGCCGACCTTAAAGGCCTATATGAAAGTAAGTTTTAAATATATGAAAATGAGGCCCAATTTATTTGGGTTTAGGGACATATTCGACTTCCAAATACACGTCCAATGAAACTTTCAATCCCACTTTAAGCCGACCTTCAAGCACGAAAAATATTTATGCTATTAGATAATGCATTGAAAATTAAAATTTTTAATAATTCATTTTATTTTTTAGTGCATTTAATGATTTATATTAAAACTAGTTTTTTTTACCCGTGCCATGCACGAAGTTTTTTATTATATTTTTTCTAATTTAAAATTTTAATTTATATTAACTTTTATTTTATATATAAATAAATAAATAAAATCATAATCATTTATAATTTGCTGTTTAAAATTAAAAAAATTGTCCACATATAAATTATTATGAAAGAATCTAAATAAACATTATGAAAACTTTAAATTATGAAAGTAAAATTATATATAAATATCAATGAGAAAATTAATCTCTTATTCACAATTATATAAATTTCTAAAAGTATATATTATTTTAGTAAAAACTAAGATTTACATATGTGATATATCATAAAAAACTTTTTCATATTTAATTTTAAAACTTTATCTGGTCAACCTTTTATGAAGAAAAGAAGAAAATATTGATTGTGAGAAAAAATAATAAATATATATTTGATAATTATTTAATTTAAAAAAATTTTTTATTTTTAAAAATTTAGTTTATCCAAATTTAATTTTAAATTAAGATAAAAGAAGTTGGTATAATTTTAAATTTAGATATGTGTGTAATTTTAAATTGAGATAAAATATTTTTTATTTTAAGTTATAAAAAAATAAAGATAAAAAATTAGTAAATAACAGTGGTTCAATCACAAATTTTAGTTATTTAAATTTATATAAATATTAATTTAGATTATCTATAATTTTTTATGATTCTTAAAATTTAGGGATTTGACTTTTAAAAACTATTTAAATTGGATATGAGTGAAATATGAGAAGATATATTTTATTATATTTAAATTAAGATAAATATTATATATTTTGAAAGACTTTGATAAATGTAAATTTTGAAACTTTAAAATTTTTAAAAATTAAATAATTGATTGAATAAAATTATTTAAAAATATCTTATGTGTTAATAATATAGGTTGTCTACCTAAATATTCACGTAAGTAAATCTTATTAAGTTTTTATATATGTTGTAATATAATATTATATATAATTTATTTACTAAAATTTTTCAATAAAAAGAAGTTGAATAAGATTGGTTACTTGCTAAAATTTTTAATTTGATATATATTATATAATTAAGGTATTGTTTGATAAATTCAGCAAATTAAATAATGAAAAATTAAGTACTGAATTTTTTGTTTTAAAAAATCTAATCCTGAATTTATGATATGAAAGTTGTTTGATATATTACGGAAATTAAATATTTAGTTGTTTTTTGTTAATTTTTTTTGTAAAAAAATACAATTTATAATTATTTTCAATTAGTAAAAGTTAAAAAGGAAAGAATAAACAGTTAAAATGAAAGAATATGAAACAAATTTAATTAAATAAAATTTTTTTCTTAAATAAGATTGACTTAATGATTTAAGTGGTTAAAAGCTACTTAGCATTTTAAATATTTATGCATTGAAAATTGTCAATTAAGTAGTTTCTAAAAATAATTGATCAAATACATTAATAAAAATTAAATTATTGAAAATTTCAATTTCAATAATTTTAAAATTTTCAATGGTTTATCAGATACACTCTTAATTTGTTATTTAACTAAATTTAAATACACTCTTAATTTATTATTTAACTAAATTTAAGGAAATCAATATATTAATTACGAGTTTAAAATAATATTTTAATATCTTTTGGTAAGTAGCTATAAGCACCCGTCAGCCTTTACTTATTATCATCCATTAAATATGAATCTAAGGCCGAAAGAGAAATGACATTTTCTCGTCTTTTTCTTTATTTTTCAAAAAATATTGTCATTCAATCTAATAATTTTTTATTTTTACAAAATAAATTACAGGCTCAGAAATAAATTACAAATGTAAAATATAAAAATAATTATATTAAATATTATTTTTTAAAAATAATTATATAAATTAATTGAATTAAATTTTAAATCTAGATCTTTGGTTTGCTATTACGAAAGATGCCCCGTTGCACTTATGCAAGTGAAGTGAACAAGAAAACCTGCCATTAATGGAGAATGGAGACGGAAAATGACTGAAATGAAATCAATGTGTAGTGCCATTATGGGCCATTCCCCACGCATTTTCTTTTCTCAACTTGTACTTTTATAACTTCTGGTGCGAGGTCATATAATGCATAGGGTCCGGAACAACATAAAAAAAATGCTAATCAGCCCGTTACCATTAGTGGTATCTCGAAAGTTCCAACACTTTCAACCTCAACTTTGGAACTGATTGAAAGAATGTAAATGACAGTTGTTATTAACAAACATCATGTATTATAAAATTTTGTAATAATAAATTCACTATTTTATATGCTTGATTTATTGAATTAACAAAATCTATAAATATATAAATTAAATTAATTAAATTATTTACATGTTAAATAAAAATATTATGAAAATATTAAATAATGAATTATATTAATATTACCACTATAGCAAAATGACGTATTAACGGCAGTTTTATGGTGACCTTTGACTTACAAATGCTGCTAGCTTTTATGATTTTATAAAACTTCAGGCGTTTATTATCCAAACACCACTAAATATTCATATAACGGTGTTGTCACTTATAAACGCTACCCAAGACTTGATATTACAGGCGTTTTTTGACTAAAATGTCTTGAATATTTTTTTATTAAAAATTTCAATGAATAGTTAAGGCGTATCTTTGGCAGACAACGCCTTCAATAATTATATCATAAAAAATTGTATGAAATTAATAAATATGTGTTCTATAAGAAACGCCTTTAATATTTGGACAAAAAATTTTCACAGGCTTATCGAATTTATTTTGTTCGAAGATACCTTCAATATTAAGCTTATCAAATTATTTGGATCGTACGGATGTTTACCATAAGATTGTAGGTTCGATCCCTCATTTAGCTTTTTTTTGGGGTTTTGCACAGATTATTTGTAATTGATTATTCGAGGCATTTTCTTGGCAAAAATGGCTTCACCAATTGCTTTAAAAAAATGTTCATATAATATTGAAGGCGTTTTTCATGGAAAAACGCCCTTAATAATCCATAGGAAAAATATGGAGTCAATTCTTGAAGGTATTTTTGGTCGAACTCGCCTTCTATAATCCAATCAGTAAATTTTTTTTTGGAGAATTTTAAAGGCGATTTTGTAAAAAACACATTCAATAATCCATAGACAAAACTTGTATGGGATGCTTGAAGGCGTTTTGGCTTAAAATGCTTTTAATATTCGCAACGATAAATTTTAATAGTCGGATTGTTGAAGGCGATTATATCTAAAAACGCCTTCATAAACATTTTGTTATGGATTATTGAAGGCGTTACCCGTATGAAAACGCCCTTCATAATCCATTCAATTAATTTTTAGTTAGTATTATTAAAGATGTTTTTTACCCAAAATACCTTTTTTCACATAATAATTTCCTAGGGGGATTATTAAAGGTAATTTTAGTAAAAAACGCCTTCAATGTTTTCTGTTAAGGGTGATTAAAGGTATTTTCTTGCTAAAAATGTCTTCATTAATCCAATAAAAAAAACATATTTGATACTGTATATGTGAAGTCAGTTGTAGGTTTATGCCCAAAAAAACGTTTGCTATCAGTTGTATATTTATGCCCTGAAAACATTTGGTTTATATATCTGATATTATGAAATACATTTTGGAATTTACATAATGAACATTATTGTATTTCAATAAATTGATCACACATCCGAAATTAAAATTGATAAATTGTCATATTAATATACTTTTCTGAAATAATGTACTTAGTAATTTATTAAGCACACATAGTGTATTCATATTAAATATAATAATAATATTAAACCAATACCCCCAATGTACAAACTTAAAGTTTCCATTCAACATGGCATGTTAAAAACATTATAACGATTTGTTCCATATATATTTACATTCAATCAACAATGTCTAACCTGAAGGTTTACCAACATTGATAAATGACAATACATAATCATACCATTCTTTACGGACTTCATCCAGCTCTTCTTTCCATGAAGCTTTCTTTACCCTCTCACTAAAAAAAAATATCAGAAGTAAATGTTAAGAAATGAGAACATAATCTACCATTTTATTTTTTTAAATATATAACGAGTTTATGAAATTTATACTAACCTTGAATGGTGTGGTCATAAAATCATGTAACACTCTCTCCTGCATAAAATAAAGGACATAATATCCACATTCAGTGTTATCGGGTTGACAAGGTACTTGAAAAGTAAATTGAGTGGGTTTAAAAAATATTTATCTATACAAACTCAACATTAAAAGAATATATTTCACATTTATCGGTAATGACATCCATTTCAATTTCTTTATCTTCTTATCGAATGCAGATATTACCCTAAATTGAAAAGAAAAAAATTAATAGGAACATAAATAAATTACTTATGAAGAAACATAATATATATAATATAATAAAGTGTAATACCTTTTTATAAAAGTTTGAATATCGGGGTTAGGCATCACCATTGGATTAACTGAATTAAGAAGGTATGACATTAAGGATTTGGTGTCAATCACAATAAGCACTCAATGACGACTGTAAAATAAGAACAATAATATACTCATAATACTGCATCAAATCATATTTGGGTAAGGTTAGAATATAGCTTACTACGTATTATACGAGAGTAAATAATAATCAATTGGTTTTTTCATGCATAAGATCACAGGATTAGCACGA